CCGGTCAATATGTAGCGCCGCGACCGGTTGCCCATCGCCACGGCCTCACACTCGTGAACACAGTAAGCGGTGATCATTGAGTTGTCGACCGAACGTAATGTACAGATCTTTTGGCCGTTGGAAGCGGTCAACACATTCGCCGAATCGGTTTGGGTTCGGAAGCGTTCGATAAACACTTGCTTCTCGCCGTCGTCCTGATCGCCAAACGGCCCGACCTCGCAGTTCGACACTACTATTCCGCTACCACTGGCGGCGTTCCCACCCGTACTACTGGTCGGCGCAGAGGACTGGGCCTCGTCTTCGTCGTCGTCGAATAGGTTCTCATCAAACTTAATGATACGGAACGAGGCGTGAGGTGTAGAGCCCGGTTGGGTCGATATGCGGCCCCTGAATCTGGTCATAGTCCACGTGCGGACATGCATTTTGTTGCAAACGCTAATCAAGTACTTTTCGCTCAACATTATCCGCTCGATGCCATTCAGATGCACTTTAAATGTCTGGAAGAGCTGCGGCCCGTGGCCTACGGTCTCCGGGTGTTGGACTAACACGCGTACAGTTCCGCCTAAAAGATACCATTTATTACATTTGATACAAATAAAGAGCAGTAATCATAAATGACAAACCTTTAGTCCCGTACGCGATCTCAACCCAATTGCCATTGGTTTTGGGAGTGCGGGTCAGATAACAAGAAATGGCAGTTATCTGTTCCTTCTCTGGGTCTTCGTATAATTCATTGATGAGTAGATCCCCGTCTTTCATACGCAATGGAAACTTCTGCATATCTATCAGATATATTGATCCCAAACCAGATCCAAGTAAAAGAAAATTACAGCCGGCCTTATCATAGGCGGTGATGGCCGACACGTCGGTTGAGCCCTGCTTTAGGTCCTGAACCAACCAGTGCTGCGATGATGAGTGCCAGACACCCACTCTTCCCCTCTCGTTACCCAAAGCCACTGTTAGTTTCAACACATTTACAGCGTTTAGACATTTAATTAATTCACAATTAAAAGCAAATAATAAATATATTTTATACCCAATTGAGAGCCAATAAAAAACATAGAATTAATATAACAATTATTGAGATGAAAGCGTCCGATCTCTTGCTTCTGTTGACTATTCACATTAAACCCGTTATTATTACTACCGGTGCTCTCATTACCAGAGTTGCCGTTTGTGTTATTATTATTACTATTAGTGTTAATGTTATTATAATGCGAGACAGTTATAGACCACAAGCGGATGATAGACTTCTGGTCTTTGATGGCGAGCATGAGTTTGGGTCCCGTGAGAGGCGCGACCCCACAGTTGTAGTAAAAAGCGATCTCTGAGATGACACTATCGATGGGTTGCGACTCAAACACCGACTGCCAGCCCATTGTGTCCTTCAGTCGATAACAGGTGACGGTGTGGTTGTGGGCGACGGCTATGGCGTTATGATGAGCGACCACTTGTCTGACGGGCTCTGAGCTGTTGCGCGCGCGGATGTGGGCCTGAAAGAGGAGGTCTCCGCCGCACGTGGGCTTGCGGTGCAACTGTTCGCACAGCTGTAGCCGCCGTACGAGTGGTGTAATGCCATAGAATTGGCTCTCGTGTAACAACAGTTCCAGATTCTGGTCGTCCTTCATGTCAAACAGCTGTCGTGTCCGCAGATAATGAAGAATAATGGCAAACAGTTTTGGATCCCTGTCCACGAAGATGGCGCCCGACGAGAGCTCTCGTGTAACAACAGTTCCAGATTCTGGTCGTCCTTCATGTCAAACAGCTGTCGTGTCCGCAGATAATGAAGAATAATGGCAAACAGTTTGGGATCCCTGTCCACGAAGATGGCGCCCGACGAGTCCCGCAGCGATGGTATGCGTCCGGACAACAGAGCCGTGAAGAACGTGTCGCCAATCGATGTCAATGTCTGCCGAGACGTCGAGAATCGTTTGCCGCCGACATTCAGACTAATAATCTCTTCCTCGGCGGTCATCGACTGTTTTTGGTACAGATATGAGTGACTCAAACACTTCTTCATCGCCGACATCGTCACAGAGGGAGTGATGTTATGGACGGACGGCTCTTATGATGGCAGCGATGGCTGTGAGTGACAGATGTGGTGATGATATGGCGAGGAATGTATGGCTGGTATCCCTTTGTCCGCGCGATTGATCAGTGGATCCGATGGCAAACGTGTCGACACTTTTTTATTGATGTGTTTTTTATGTTTACTTTTTTGTAAAACATTTTTTAAAAGCCTTTTAAATGTTTGTTTGAGTGAAACGTCAAAAATAGGGCCAAAGAGTCGTCCGGACATTACGTCCGCTCAATGTTTCGCAAAAGTATTGAAAAGTATTGTTTGACTCGTATTTGAGACACAATTTAACCGCTGGTTTAGGCCTCAAACGTGTCGGTCGTTTAGTGAGAGCACAGGTGTGTCACCAATAGATGTCCTCCACTGCCGTAATGACCGGCATTTCACGCAAATTATATGCTTTTCAATGATGTAATCGTCAACTCATCGCAAATAATGAACACTTGTTTTAGTGCATTAAGAGTGCATTGAATGCATTGAATAGAGTATGCATTGAATGGCAAAATGCAAGTCATTTAAAGCCAATCAATGATTACGTCATTCATGTGTTGGTTATATAAAAATCAAATGATCTGAACGTTAATTCACAACACATTTGACCACAAAATACAGCGAAATATATATTGAATTCACAATTGATTGCAATTTGCAAATGATTTAGTCCTTTGATTGCATTTAATCACTAATTGTTAGCGACTGTCGTCCGTCTCTCGCCGTCCGCTGTCTTTGTCTCTGAGTTGGCACTCAATTGGCGGTGAGTTTGAGGTCGTTGTGGTTGCGATCCATCTGTTGGCCCATCACTTGATCCGTCGACAGGTGTGACGACCGACACAATGGATGTGCCGATGAGTGAAGAGTCAATTGTCTCGTCAGTATGCGTCCGGACAACAGAGCCGTGAAGAACGTGTCGCCAATCGATGTCAATGTCTGCCGAGACGTCGAGAATCGTTTGCCGCCGACATTCAGACTAATAATCTCTTCCTCGGCGGTCATCGACTGCTTTTGGTACAGATATGAGTGACTCAAACACTTCTTCATCGCCGACATCGTCACAGAGGGAGTGATGTTATGGACGGACGGCTCTTATGACGGCAGCGATGGCTTGAAGTGACAGATGTGGTGATGATATGGCGAGGAATGTATGGCTGGTATCCCTTTGTTCGCGCGATTGATCAGTGGATCCGATGGCAAACGTGTCGACACTTTTTTATTAATGTGTTTTTTATGTTTACTTTTTTGTGAAACATTTTTTAAAAGCCTTTTAAATGTTTGTTTGAGTGAAACGTCAAAAATAGGGCCAAAGAGTCGTCCGGACATTACGTCCGCTCAATGTTTGCCAAAAGTATTGCAAAGTATTGTTTGACTCGTATTTGAGACACAATTTAACCGATAGTTTAGGCCTCAAACGTGTCGGTCGTTTAGTGAGAGCACAGGTGTGTCACCAATAGATGTCCTCCACTGCCGTAATGACCGGCATTTCACGCAAATTATATGCTTTTCAATGATGTAATCGTCAACTCATCGCAAATAATGAACACTTGTTTTAGTGCATTGAGAGTGCATTGAATGCATTGAATAGTGTATGCATTGAACGGCAAAATGCAAGTCATTTAAAGCCAACCAATGATTACGTCATTCATGTGTTGGTTATATAAAAATCAAATGATCTGAACGTTAATTCACAACACATTTCACCACAAAATACAGCGAAATATACATTGAATTCACAATTGATTGCAATTTGCAAATGATTTTGTCGTTTGATTGCATTTAATCACAATTGTTAGCGATTGTCGTCCGTCTCTCGCCGTCCGCTGTCTTTGTCTCTGAGTTGGCCATCAATTGGCGGTGAGTTTGAGGTCGTTGTGGTTGCGATCCATCTGTTGGCCCATCACTTGATCCGTCGACAGGTGTGACGACCGACACAATGGATGTGCCGATGAGTGAAGAGTCAATTGTCTCGTCATCAATTGGCGGTGAGTTTGAGGTCGTTGTGGTTGCGATCCATCTGTTGGCCCATCACTTGATCCGTCGACAGGTGTGACGACCGACACAAACCTACACGGCTACTCACTTCTCAGTTAACAGAGCAGTTTGCTCAGGTGTCAACTACAGAGCAACCCAAGTGAGTTATAGTCTCTGATATTCTGACTCGCGTGCTTAGTTAACCCAAAACTTGGCGTGAAAGAGATCGTTTACAATAGATATCTGCCGTACAGTCCGGCTCTCGATGACGAATGTCTTCACTATTTGTCCCAAATTAAGGCAAACATCGCCCGAACTCTTCTCCTCAATGACAGACACGGATTTCAATGGATTTCGGATCTGTCCAAGTATTGCATCCATTCATTTGATCCAATAATGATGACTCACTTTATGCATGAAATGTATTGTTTGTTTGTCCATCGCATAGATATCTCCGACTCTATGGCACCACCTTTTCAAAGGAAGACCACATTTACTTCATTAACACGTTGTATGAAGTGATGCTAATCCCTGACCTGGAGTTGAACCGAGTCTCGCATTACGCTAATGTGTTGTCCACATTACTCAAGTTTGTAGTCGTTGTCATTCATGTCTTCACTTATTCATTGAGTATCTGTTTTGTCCCGCAATAGAAAGCGGGAACTGATCACCAGAGAAGACCTGACCATCAGATGGCGGCCACTATACGATTTGTACGAACGGACACTGTTTTCGCACTACGAGAACCTCGGAATGCTTTTCATACCCGACAACTACGAGAATGCCGTCAAAAATCTGATCCGTATGTGTCGGCCGTACTTCTCGGTCGAGTCCACACAAGAGATGCTGGAAGAGTGGCGACCAATGCTGTGTCCGTTCGACACAGAGATCATTAAAGTGACCTCTCATATGGAGTTGTTTTTGCCGACCGCTTTGCCGCCCGAACACCACTCGCAGGGATTCAAACTGTGGTTAAACGAGTTGATGGAGTTGTGGAACTCATCGCAAAACACCCCGTCGTGGGAACAAAGTCTGATCTCACTGTTCGCACGACTGGCCAATGACTCGATTGGTTACGTGGACTGGAATCCGTATATACCGGAGATATTCACGCATTTGATTCGCAGTTTTAATTTAATGGGCGGTTCGCACAAAGTGCAGATCACCAGAGGTTACAGTGTATTCAACATAAATTCGGTGGTCCTATGGGTGGTGGCAATGCTGGGCCCCGGCAGTCAGTGTCAGTCACATGTGACCAAACTGTTCAAAGCCGTTGAGTCCTATTATCATCCGTCAAATACGGGCAAATGGAATCTAAAGCTCCAACAATTGCTCTTCAAACTGCCCTCGAGTTTCATCAGTCGTATACATCGGGAGCGCTATAAGAAGCCGTCGTGGAGGACACCGATTCCCGATTCACACAAACTGACTGAAGAGGACATCAATGAGTTCGTGGGCAGTATAGTCAACGTTGTGATGATATCGATGTTCAGTCGGTTCGGCAGCGCTGAGGCGGCCACCGCTCTCCAGAGTCTATCTCTGTTGAGACCCGAGAAAGTGATTCCACCGGTTCTCGAGAAGATGTACTCGTCGTTGGAGACGCTAACAGAGCCGCACCGACTGTCGGCTTCCATGCAGTGCGTGGCGTCCATCGCCCGGGACTATCTCTGTTGAGACCCGAGAAAGTGATTCCACCGGTTCTCGAGAAGATGTACTCGTCGTTGGAGACGCTAACAGAGCCGCACCGACTGTCGGCTTCCATGCAGTGCGTGGCGTCCATCGCCCGGGCGTTGGTTATGCCCAACAAATACTATCCGGAGGGTCCCACTCATGTGATACCACTGTTGCTGAACTCGTTGGACGGGCTGGACGTGAATGACATGAAGAAATGTATGGTTACCTTCCAATTCATCGCCACTTTTGTAACACTAATACCACTCATCGACTGCTCGGCCGCTGTGGACGTACGCAACGATTTGAGTGAAACGGAAATACAGTTATGTTTGGCCAGCGCTCAGTTCGAGGACTTTGTCCTACAATTCATGGACAGGTGTTTTGTGTTGATTGAGAACTCGTCGTTAGAACAGACCACTCGTATGGATCAGGAAAACGAACGCATGAATACCGAAGAGGGTATTATTGAAGTGGGTTTGGCCTCAACTTTCGGCAGTATTCTTCTTCAGTCGTCGCCACAGATATTCAATGTATGAAATGATATAATAATTTACAATAAGATCTAATTTCTTGTGTAATTTCAGAGCGCTTTGGATAAACTCTATTCGTTTGTCTCGAGCCATATATTTGAGACTAAAGTTGCCGGAAAATTCTCGGCAATTCTTGTCCGTTCGTGTTCTAAGGTATGGATGTTTATACTGTATTATCACTCGATTTGATCCCTAATTCTTTGCGCATATTTTCAGGCAAACGCTGAGTTATCGTTGAAGAAATTTTTGCCCCATTTCTGCAAATTAGTTCTCACTCTTACGGAGAGCGACGACATCCTAAACGAGGAGTTTTTAGACCACGAACTCCTGTTTAGTTTGCAGATAATATCGGAATTGGTTCGTTGCGATGGCAAGCATTTGGTCCAATATTCGGATCTATTGATTCGTGTGATCGATCGGACACTGCATTTAAAGTGCCGAAAGGGTTATCTTCTCGCGAGCGCTATTCTTCGACATGTACTCAAATCGTTGACACTGTTGTGTGCGCTCGACTTCAGAAGTTTTACTAAAACGTGGGACTTGTACCAGAACTTTGAGACCGATCTACCCATTAGAGTATGTATTTAGCGAAACGATAATTGAGGTGTTTGTCATTTACTAGTATTTGTTAACCGCAGGACTGGGGCTGTACTGTAGATATCCATCATCTGAACACACAGTGGCACGAGTCGAGCGACGCTGAGCTGACGTTTGCTCAGCAACTGCTCGAACGCTTCTTAGGCACCGAATTGAATGATTTGCACAATTGGATCAAAGGTGAGGAGAAGTTGTCGCGCGAGGACTTACAGCGAAGTCTATTAGTTGTTTTGGACAGTGTGACGGGTGCCGCCTCTGCGCTGCCCCTCTGGAGTGGCGATAATATTGTTCTGTGAGTATTGATATATTGTTGGGTTTGAGAGAATGATTTCATTTGTGGTGTTTTTTCAATGGTTAGCTACGAGTCGTTAGTGTCAAACACTACATCTATTGTACACACTGTGGGCTCTAATATCGTTAATTTTTCCAACGGATCCAATATCCGAGAGACTGTATTGAAGACATTGCGCTCCACTTTAGTCCATATTCTGCAGACGTGCGAAGACGATACCAAATCTTTATGTCGTCTCATAAAGGTTTGAATGTTTTTAATTGATTTATAATTTTGATATTAATTTGTTTAATGAAATGCACAATAGATTTATAACAATACGATGTTCTTCTGGGGCGTCACTAAACACGACTTCGACACGCGTTGGAAGGGCTTTCATGTGGTGAAGAAATCACTGGAGAATAAGTTAACTAAAAAGAAACAACACATCCGAGCGCTGATGATTGACCGACTCGTCCTCCAGCACGAGGTCTGTGGCAATTGCTTTGATTTGTTGACAAATACTGATTTGATGTTTATGTATCCGTTATTTAGATGCGATTAATGAACAAATCGTTAACAAAATTCACGGAATTGCACAAAGAATTGATGACAGATTTGATGCAATTGGCGACCAGTCATTACAGCGAAGTCCGGTGCCAATCGCAAGAGACACTGTTCAACTGTTTCCGGTCGTTCCCCTATTCCTATCGCCTGTGTTTACCCGATTTGCTCTCAAATCTGCGTAAAGACGGCGACGCAAATCACGAACAATTTAAAGGCTCACTGTTTGTGATACTCGGCCGTCGCGGGAGTTCACTGTTGACATCACACGACTGGTCGACGCTCAACACCTTATGGCCAGCGCTGGTCGACGCCAAGCATTCAGAAAAGCCGAGTATTATTCGCTTATTAGACTTAGATATCACGGGTTATGTTCGCAAATTTTTCGATACTTTGGCCTTACGTGTGGATATTCCCGACTCCTGTACGGCCATCGCTCGTCAGGTGTGGACAGTGAACACAAGTTTGCCGAAACCGGCCTTTAAATGTCCGACCGATGAGGAGATTCAAAACGCTTTAACTATTGCTCAAAAGCGAAACCAAACAAATGTTGATTTGTATAATAATTTGGT